GTAGTACCTACAAAGTGGATCTCAGGACCTCTTAACAAGTGGACACGATTCCTTCCTATGGCAAATGAAAAGGCAGAAGGAAACTGAGGCAGCAAGGGAACCCTGTGCTTATGTTTCCTACCTTCGCATACTCAGCAGAGACCATTCTAGAACTGCAAATGACCCCGAGGGTCCTTCACACAGGGCAAGGATCCAAGAGACTTAATCCTATGGGATGACGGATGGAACAGAACAAAGCCCAAGAACCAGCCCCCTTCTAGAAAGAATCCCAAAGCTTTACCACGAAAGTGGAGACAAAAATCCCCAACCCCCACACCTACAGAATTCTGGGATTGTTGAGGTTTACTGAAACGGAGATTTAAATATTTCAGAGGAGGCTTATTCTAAGATGTAAGTATGCTCTCCAACCAGTGGTTCTTCTGTTACTGATGTAAGTCCATTTTTCCCTTTTTGGTTCCCTGGAGAAATGGAAACTATCGATCAGCTCGAGAAGACAGCTACCTACAGAGCTTGCTGAGAGCCTTCTTGTCCTCTGTGACAACTCTCCATGGCCGAGAACAATCAAATGCTAGCCAACACCCTTACGGCCTCTTCAGGACTCAATCTCATCTCTCGTTTCTGTGCACTCAGATAGATACAAATGGATGACACAGGGAAAAATCTTTTCAATACAAGCTGAAAAAGAAAGGCCCTTGTGGAAGTTAGAGATTAATGAATACTCAAAATGAGGCAATTAGGGGTTCTCACAGCCCGGGACTTTCCACTGGCTCTGCATTCTGCTTGGAAATAACACGTAGCACATGCGGAGGCAGGATTTCTGGTTCCGTGACCAGTTAAATTGAGGTACAGGCCAGCCACATACAGCTGTCCCTTCTTTAGCCAGGAGAGGGAACCGAACCAGCCAAGTTGCCTTCCTGTGTTTATAGGCTCCGAATCCAGTTAAACACTGTGATAGGAACTCACTCGATTTGGTCATAACTCGTCAGTATCACACCGTCACGGATTTGAACTATCAGAGAGCAGTTCTAAACCTGACTCTTCTCAATTCTCACAGTACAGAATTGCTTAGCCTTCTTACATATACTGATAGTCACATGACACCCAAATTATGTCAACAGTCATTTGCAAGACATTCAATTACATTCCGCAGATTTTTGACTTGCTTCTGGGGTCCTCTACAATATCCTTGCATGCTTCCTAGCTCATGAGAAACAAACACGGGCGCATGTATAGGATAATCCTTTCATCTAGGGATGAGCCACAGTCCGAAAGGAAGCGATTGCAACTGCACAGCTATATTAGTGCCATGTACTACTACTCTCAAATACGCTAATGACAAGTTCTGCTGCCCACAGGAGGTGGCTCTTTCAGTAAAACGCCTCTTGCCTCTTCATTCATAAAAGGACACAACCATCCCAAGTGCCTTCTGCGGAGGCAGAGAAAGATGTCTCTTTTAATCAGCACGTTGCTGCAAACCAGTCTCCCATTGCTTTATTTTCCGTCTGCATGCACCACTAGGCGAAGTGCAACCCAAGAAAGCAGGACTTGGCACAAGTCCTGGAGAGGAACGTGCCTAATTTACCGGACTCGTGATTTGTAACAAGAGGAAAATACGAGCAGGCTAATAAAAATACCAGGACGGAACCCTGTGAGGTCAGAGCCGGTGTCCAGTGGGTACGCCGGATCCCTGACGGTTTTGCTATCAACATGCCCACGGTTTTATGAAAGCATGAACTGGGTTTATGAAGATAGTAAGATGTCTAATGAATAGTCTTTTGTTTTCTATTGAGAACCTGTGTAGGCTTCGAACTCTTTCACTTCTCCCCCACTTCTCTTTCAATTAACCTCCCTGTCTGTAGTCTATGAGCCGACACATACTACGGAGAAAGGAAAAGAAAATCTCGTTGATTTATGAGCAGTCTCTCCGAAGATGACAGTTTCTTTTTAGCCAGATATATGTTTGAATTGAGAGGAACTGCATAGACTAGTAACCGTCCCAAATGAGAAAATGCTACACTGTTTCCTGGTTGCTTTGCCAGCAGCTCACGAATGGTCCCTGGGCTACACTGTGGCGCACACACAGGTAGCGAGCAGACAGAAGAAGGGCAACCGCATCTTTGCGTGACAAAACTGGACTCATTCTAATGGCACAAAAGAGCAGAGTAGAATTTCAAAGTGTCTCTGAGAATCGAACCCAGGGCCTTGTGTACACGGGCCTGACATTTTACCACTGAGCTATAGCCACAGCTCTAAAGGGGCTCTACATCTTTTAAAAGATTCACGTCCAAGCAGGTCCTTTATTTCCTGTGCTGGAGTAGAAAGCGACACAATTAATAAAAGCAATAGAAAATGAAATTGTCAACCAGCGAGGCAAGAAGCATCCATCTGCAATAAAAAAGATCCAGTATACTAACAAAAATCTTCCTTGTTTCCAAACAAGTAGAGCATTGTTTAAGAAGCACTTATTCGTAGGAAACTGTTCTATATCAACCTGCCAATGCCAGTAAAGACAGAGCCACGGAAGAACTTTTTGAGGAGCTATTGGGTGGTAGTCCTATGTGCCTATTAGAAGCTTTCTGATATATTTCTGTTTTTTTTAAAGCTATGCATATCCATTTGTTGTCCTTCTGAGGATACATAGTCAGATATATAGTGCTTATGCTCCTAGCTAGAATTAATTTGTGCGATGCAAAAAGCATATTTTTGTGTTCCTGCCTTTGGTGTATGAGGACTCCGAGATTCAGGGGCGGAGCTGTTTGGACATAGGGGTACTGTATGGTCCTTTGAGTGTCCAAGGAGAGATACAGAGAGCCTGCTTGTCAACTGTTTTCTGTCTTAATGTGGCAACATGAGCTTCATGTGGTCCCTGTTCTAGAAGCCTCTCAGAGATCAGAAGGGAGAGCCACATCACAGCTGGGATGAACCCTGGGCAAGGGCTGTGAACATGTATGTCTGTGGATGACTTGGGCATACTGAATCTTTCCCCACATCAGGCCGTGACTTCACCATCAACAGGTCACCGTGAGGGTGTCGCACAGATGATGATGCAGACGGGACCTTCGGAAGATGGTGGGGCTGGGTCCCGTGTGACATCTGAATTCTGCACACTCCCTGCATTGCTACATGTCCTGCGCCCACAAGGAGCCCTTGGGAGGAAGTCTGCACACACATTAGTGCATCCTGACCTGGAGAAAGGCTGGCGCTCCACGTGACTCCAGACTCTGATGCATCCCTCTTTCTGATCTCTGTACACTACAGTCACGACTCCAGTCACCTCCGAGTCCTGGAGTCATCACACAAGGTCACCAAACACCAAGGACTGTGGTGGGACCCTTGAAACAGATTTCAGGGTGGCCAACAACATTGCAAAGAACCTTTTATAGGGTCGGTAAAGGCAAAACTGTGCTAACTTATAAAAAGAGGTTGGATTTTAATTGTGGGATGGGGTGGGGGTAAGTGTGTGCACATGACTGCAGAACTCTGACACTCTGATAACACGTGTGAGCTCAAGTTTCTCATGAGGGAATTTCTTGCTACCCAATTCCTGTAAGCAGAAAAAAGAAGGCCATCATTCATACACACTGGAAGAATACATTGTTTCAATTACCGATAAAGCTCCCAAAGAGTTTCATCAAATTTTACCCTGTGACCACAAAATATTTCAGAAAACATGGTGCCTTACCTTCTGAAATTGCCAGCCTGTCAATTACCATCAGTGATGGATATTTCTAATGAGGTGAGGGATTTATGACCTCCTCTACCTTTCTAACACACTTTGTTAGCTGAACATTTTAATTCTGTACTTTGAATGAGAAGGGAATACTGAGTATGCTGAAAAGGCAGTATTTTATCTGTTCTAGACACTTTTAAATTCGCATTACATGTTGGTGAGTACAACCCTAGCCTACCATTTTTCTCTTTTATCTATCTATCTATCTATCTATCTATCTATCTATCTATCTATCTATTTATTATGTATACAATATTCTGTCTGTATGCCTGAAGGCCAGAAGAGGGCGACAGACCTCATTACAGATGGTTGTGAGCCACCATGTGGTTTCTGGGAATTGAACTCAGGACCTTTGGAAGAGCGGGCAATGCTCTTAACCACTGAGCCATCTCTTCAGTCCCCCATTTTTTTTCTTTAAAAAACTGTTTTTGGTCTGAGAGATCTGGTTGATATTTTATTCAGCTTCCAGGTATTGGTGAACATTCCCGTGTTTGAAGAAGTGTCAGGCCTACAAAGAACAGCTACACTTGGGCTTATTCTAGTTTACTTCCAGTGAAGTCGCAATAGAAAGGCAAAAACAAAACAAAAAAACAAAACAAAACAAAACAAAAACAAAACAAAAAACAAAAACAAAAAAAAACTTCTTAGTAGAAACTCACAGTACCAAAAGACTAAGAAGAGTGATTCTGTAGATCAACAAAGCCCATGGAGTTGGGAAAATTTACAAACAAAAATGTCAAGTAGAAGGTATGCTTGCTATTAAGAGGTGCAGTATCAGTAGGGAACACTAGCAGCCGGCACTTAAGATGAAGCCATGCCATGGTGGTCGGTTGAGAGCTCTTGGGTGCTGAGCAGATCTGGCTCGCAGCTGACCAAAGTGGACGGCTTACAAACAAGGCACTGAAATATCTTTCTGTGACTCCATTTTCTTGGTGGCCACCACACCAAGCAACGCGTTCCCATTCTTACACCTCACATTCAGGTCGGCTCCTCTAACAAGAAATAAATTATTGTAAGACATAGACAGTAATTACAAATGAAACTCTTCTTTGTAAGAAGATTAAAAAAAAAATGAATGTGAAGAGGTGATCTTCCAAGTTAAAAGACAGCCAAGAATTCGCTCTTTCACAGGAGATGGAGGATCGAGAGAAGTACGTTAAGGGTTGGGGCGGGGCTCGGGGGTGGATTGCTAGTCTATCGGGTTGGTGGGTTCGGGTCCAGCGCAGACAGAACCGCACTACGGAAAGCACTAGAAGTCTGGTGGGCCTACCAATCGTGCAGTGCTCCCCGTTCCATCCTTGGCTGCATTCACACTTGCCGTCCTTGCAGGTCCCGTGCTCGGCACAACGCGGGTGGCAGGCTCTCTGATTGCACGCAGGGCCGGTCCAGCCTTCCTCACACCGACAGGTGCCTCCCATGCAAACACCGTGTGTGCCGCAGTCCACGGAACAGATTTCTGCGTTGCCAGAAAGAGGAATCCAGGCAAGAGAAAAGAATGGGTGGGGGTGAGAAGGAGGATTATTAAGGCCTCTTGCATTTGTCAAAGTGAAAAGCAAAGTCACTGTAAACCGCAAGTACCGCGCGCCAGGTTCATTTCGGCTTTGCCAAGTAGCAACTGCGGATGGTGGAATTTTACATTCTTTCATAGTCTTTAATTTTATATGTGGCGATGTGGGTACATAAAACACGCACAATAAATAAATGCTTGGGAAAATTTCTTTATATATAAAGAGATGTTATACATGAAATACTACGTATATGGAATAATCATATATAAATACATAAGACTACTCATTGGCAGCCAAGAAAGAAACATGGACACCAAAATGAAGAGATATTTGAGTAGCTAAGTGTGTCAAATATTTAACAGAAGTTGCATTATATACAGTTACTGAGAAATGAAATGGGTTGATTGCTAAAGCCATGGCTTAAATATTTTTAAATATTCAGAAACTTTAAGGCAGCTCTATTATAGAAGTACATTAGCTTGCTCGCACATGCAGGCATGCTGGCTAAAAAAGGGGAAATGTTGTTTTTCCTATTTAGTAAATTTGCACTCCTGACAGCTACAAATTGCTTAGCCCACATAATAGAAAACCAGTTTAATAATATATATACACATCGACTCTGTCATTTGAAAAACAAAGATTTTCATCTGTTGGGATTTCTGAAAGGCGCACAATGACCAAATGCCTTCAAATTGTGTAACACTGGATTAAGCCTTTAAAAAGATTTCAGACGTCTGAAGTAATTTTTTTTTATATAAAGCTTTCTAAAGAGCTTTATTTAACTAGGTCTAACTGAGAAAGAGGGAGGAAGAGAGGGAGAGGGAACTTTGAAGGACATTTGAGCTTTTATTTTTTATGTATAAAGTTAACTGTGGATTTTATTCTCAGATTGCAAAACTACTGTTGCATTCTGAGTTTTCATTCCAAAACCATTTCTAACGAATAAAAACAAGCGATGGTTGCCTTTCTTCTTTACAATAAAAGAAGTAAGCATTTCTATCGTCATATACTCCTATTTCCACACCCAGTCCCCAATGATACTTCTCGGGCACCATCCTTATCCACATTCTTATCTACTTTTGACACCCCAGGAAGGCACTTTAAAAACTGTACCATTTCTTACAAACAACACTGAGGCCATTAACTGGGACAGAGTTGTGTCTCTGGTTTGTTTTTCCATCCTTGGTTTTTCTATAGCCTTTGAATTAAATTTTTGATTAAGAGGCGAAGATGGTTTGATTAATTCCAGAGCCAACACAACATGAACTCAGCATCAGAACAGGGGTGTCTTTTGGAGGTCCCCCTTTCATTCAGTGGAATCAATTTTTCATTAGGGAGAAGTTGTTTATCAGCATTTAACACACTGGCTCTGAGCAAGGTGCGTCAATCTTTGTAATGAACTTATTAATTAGAGTTAATTTAATTGAAGTGGAATTGAAGGGCTAATTAATGGACACACCACTGACGGAGACAGAGGGAAACTCGGCTGCCTCCAAACCTGTAAACTTTCTCACACAAATAATTCATTTCTCTCTTAATAGCTTTACCCAACGCTCTGCTTATAAATTCGACACTCTTATTGAATCTAGATATCCGAAGGTCATTTTCACAATGGCAAAGGAGGTGGCTGGCAGCCTTTCCCCTTTAGGATTCATTTAGTTGAAAACGTTAGATTTATAGTAAATGTTCAGCCACATATGTAAGTGAACAATAATATTGGGATAAGCTGTCGGTCAGATGATCTGGGCGGACACGAGAGAAGATGCACTTATAGGCCGAGCATGAACACTTTAAGGCCATTGCAATTTATCTTAAGCTTTCTGTCTTTTTACAGCTGATAATTGAGTTTCATATTTTTCTATAATATTTAATCTTGATTTCTCATTTATTCCGAGTTTAATGTGTTGCACTTCTGCTTTGAATGGAGGGAATAAAGATGGACAGAGCAAAGATCTCCACCGCCTTTCTAGTTGTATTTAGAGTTCAAGAGTTTTTAAAAATGTAGATGGAATTTTTATTTTGATTCTCAGCTATAAAGTAATTATGTCAGCGTGGGTAATATCAAATCTAAACACGTAAGATAATACAGGAGACGGATAGCCACTTTCATCTTTGAACTAACATTTACTGTTTGCTATTCGTGCCAAAATGATTTTATGAGGATGGATGCCATTTTTAGCCATTCAGTGTGTAAGATTCTCATGGAACAAAACCAGTGGGCACTCCATCTGTTCCTCTGCGGCTTCGACCAGACTGTGAAGCAAACTGGAAATGATGTCATTCCAGCGTGGGTTACTTTACAGGAAGTATTATTAGACCTGCCCTCCTGAGAGAGAGACTTACGCATCCCTATACAACTGACTGGATTTTCTTTGTGAAATGCATTTTTTTTGTGTGTGTGTACAGGAACTAGAAGTGTAACTAAGTAACAATTCAGAAATAAATAAATACTTATTTTGATTCTTATAATTAAAATATGTATTTCTTAAGAAAACTGGTCAAACCAAATGAATATGAACAGTGTTCTGCACTCACGCTTGGCTTGATAAACATCAGTTGAAAAAGACTTCCTAAAACTCTTTAGGCCCTTATACAATCCAGACTCCATTTTATGATTTTCTTATTTATCTAAACATATCATTTATTGGCAGTCATGAATTTTCTAACCAAAAATTTGGGCTATTATTTCAACAAAGCAGGCATACACATACAATAAATTCTGTCTGCTTTGAGAGGTCTGTGCTAATGATGGAGGGTCAATCAGAGGGAGGGAGGGAAGAGGGGAAATTGTCAGAGTGAGGGAAGGAGGGAGGGAGAGAGGGAGGGAAGAGAGACTGAGAGATAGGAAATGAGAAAATCCAGTCTTGGGTTAAAAAGGAACGCTGTGAATCTATTATATATTAGCTATAGAAAATTTCCTTATTTCCAGGATTCTACTTAAATCAGGGATGAATCTGCCTGGTAGATTTTGAATCCCAGGGGAGAAGGGATGCGACCCAAGTTTCTCAAAATGCCAGGAAAGCAGAACTGATAGTTTCCTTGTTTCCCCCAACCCTGTCTTTAAAATTGACAGTGATCTGTGGTTGGAGGGAGGACTGAGCAGCGAAGAGCACTGGCCTCCCTGGCAGCCGTTCTGGGCCCAGTTCCCAGCATCCACATGTTGGCTCACAACTGTCTGGAAGTCCAATTCCAAAAGACTCAGTGCCTTCTGGGCTCTGTGGGCACTGGGCAAGCACATGGTACACACACACACACACACACATACATGCAGACAACACACACACACACAATGAATAAATCTATAGGGAAAAAAATCAACCAACCATGCAAAGGATCTGCAGGGCAATATTTTGCTTTACTTTATACTACCAGGACAGATTAATGAAGAACATCATTTCATTCCATGGCTCTGAGATTTGGGGAGCATGGAGATTACTTTTCAGTGGAAGCGCCTCTGAATAGACAGGAATGGACACAAGCTATAGTTCACCTCTACCAACTCCTACTGCTTGCTAACACCCCCAGCACTACCAAGGCATCACGGCTGCCACTGCACCCGAGGCTGTAGTCTACCCATTCCTCTCTTAGCGTGTATCTGAATTTAACGACCATCCTAGTAACGGGATCTGAACTAGTAATGGTGCTATCATCCCCACTTTGTAAACCACCAAATGGAGGCACAGGGAAGCTATACACCTTGTCCTACCTAGAGAAGGCAGCTGAATGACTGATCTAAAGGCAGAATCCAGAGTGAGGGGTGGGACACAGTGGGAGAGCTCTTGCCCAAGTGTGCTTAAGGTCCCCGGGTCCCCCACCCAGAACTGGAATAAAAAACAATAGAAATGGATTGGACATGAGCCGTTGGACCCCCATGATCTTAAGTACATTTGAGAAGCAGGAGACGAGGGTGCAGAAGGGCGCTGCCCACCTCTGGGCTTCGCACAGAACACGCGCACTTACCCAGCACTGCTGGAAAAAGAGTTTTCCTTCTCCCTTCTTGCCCTTCATTTTCCTCCTCCTCTTCCCTGCTTTTCAAACATTTACTTTTGTTTGAGTTCCCTTCATTTTCTCCCCTTCCCACTAATTCCAAGCAGCCTCTGCTGTCAGCTGTGTCTTTCTCCTGACACCATGGTCTCTTTTAGACGACACTGGCAAAGGCCTCCAGCTTCCCCTGCTTTGAACCTTCCACGTTTCTCGCCAAACCTCCGTATCTTAGTTTTTCAGAAACTGCCGTCTATTATTCGTTTACAGCACTGCTCCTATGAATCTTTCCCATTTCTATTGATTCCGAACGACTTACTCTCTCATCGGGCCACACTTCGGTGACGTCTTCTTGCTTGTCTCCTAACTCAACTGGCAATTACTTAGTGTTGGGCCTGAGACCACCCTCATCTTAGCACGCACACCATGGCCGCCAGCGGATTTTGTTTAGTGTGGCATTTCCAAGCTACAACCCTCATAATGGGGGCCACCTACTGTCTACCTCAGTTATTCTTTCTTCCCAGACTGTCCCAATGTTATTGTAATATTCTCACAGTTATAACTTCCTCACAACTGTAACTTCCAAATCTCAGCCGCAGGAGTGGTAGGAGTATTTGGATTTTATTATCAAGATATCACATTTTATGGTGCTACTTATTTGTATTTATTGCAGCAAGTTAGCTTCGTTTTGTTTAATTTTTATTTAATTTTTTAATTTTTATATTAATCTTGATATAAAGTTCAGATTGTCTTTGAACCTTTGATTCTCCAGCCTCACCCTGTGGAGAGTTGGGAGTCAAGGCGTGTCCACGATGCCCAGCTTCTAGCAAGCTCTTTACACACACCAAGTCATCCCCACAGCCCCTCAGAGAGGATCATTCCGTGGTTTTACAATGAGCAAACTGAGACACACAGTAATTTTCTAATGACTAAAGATCCATGAAACAGACTTGGCGATGAACGCATGTCTCCGACTTCGCAGTCCAAGTCCTCAGACATGTTCCAACGGTTTCCTTAGTCACAAACGGCTCCTTCCCTGCCTCTCCCCTGAGACTGCCGTGTTTAAATGAAGGCAAAAAGTGTTACTAGAAGTCCCTGAGAAAATTTTCAGGGTTCGTCAAGATGGGATCACTTCTCTGAGTTTAGCGAATTATTCTGTGTAACACTTGGTATGATATTATACTGGCGTCTAGTTATTTCACGCGTGCTCCTCTTAGCTCCCAATTAAAACTGCAGTTTTCTAAGCTGAATGGCATCTTCTCACACTGTGTGACTAATGACTGGGAATATCATGGAATTAGTTCTGAAGTTGTAACCAGCATTAAAAAAAAAAAAGAAAGAAAAATTAGATTTGGAAAAAAAAATCAGCAAGTTCCATTTTGTACAATGTCCATTTCAGCAATGTCTGAATATGTGCAAAAATGTCTGCATACTAGTGCATAATATCACTGTCATTCCCTTATAATCATAATTTAAAATCCACGTTGAACTAGTGCATATAATAGTTACAGACACACTCTTTAGTGTGATCATATTTAGCCTCCTGTTGTTAGATAAGTTTGTTTGAAGCTGCGGATTATTCGTCCACGGTAAAAAGCGCCCGCATTTCTGGGCTTGCTGGCACATACCCATGTCCCGGATGGAGATTGGATAGTGAGCACAAGGTCACTTTCTCTTATGCAGTAAATCTGAGGCCAGCTCCGGCTACACGAGGCCCTGTTTCAACTACGACAACCACCTACTCCTAACAGGGCTTCCATCCTCAAGCTGGAGACAGACATACAGATCCTGATGCAAATCAATATTTCCATCCAGGGAGAGTGAAGAAGATAGGGCTGTCCTAGGCAGATAAAAGGCAATCCTCTCCAATACTAAAGAAGAGAGAATTTCTAAAATTGTTTTTATTGAGCTATATATTTTTCTCCGCTCTCCTTCCTTCCTTCCTCCCTCCCCTTCTGTCCTCTCCCATGGTCCCCATGCTCTCGATTTACTCAGGAGATCTTCTGTTTGTCTACTTCCTATGTAGTTTAGATCCATGTATGTCTCTCTTAGGGTCCTCACTGTTGTCTAGGTTCTCTGGGATTGTGAATTGTAGGCTGGTTTTTCATTGCTTTATATCTAAAAGCCACTCATGAGTGAGTACATATTGTATTTGTCTTTCTGGGTCTGGGTTACTTCACTCAATATGATGTTTTCTGGATCCATCCATTTGCCTACAAATTCCAAGATGTCATTATTTTTTTTCGCTGTGTAGTACTCCATTGTGTAAATGTACCACATTTTTCTTATTCATTGAGAAGAGAGAATTTTTCATAATAAATTACCTGAGCTTATTTCCTTCTATTTATTTATTATTGTTTTAGCTTATTTTCTTCTTATAAAGAATAACTACTTCATTGCTTGGATCATTTATATTCTAAAAAAAACCCCACTTGATTACATAATTAAGTTTACCAAAGTGTGCTTTTGAAAGTCAAATATCCCATCCAATCTACATGGGAAGTAGAAAAAGACAAGATTTTTCTGAGTAAATTGGGAGCATGGGGATCATGGGAGAGGGCAGAAGGTGAGGGGGAGGAAGGGAGTGGAGCAGATAAAAATATATAGTTCAATAAAAATAAAAACATTGTATTTATCACTATTGATAAAGTTTCTTATTAATGTTAAGAAAGTCAAATATTCCAAATCGTAAGTAAATTACTATAAATATTCACATTAGGTGACCTCACCATTTGAGCAGTCGGGGCCAGTCCAGTTTGGGTCACAAGTGCAGGAGCCACTCTCTTGAAGGTATGTGCCATGGCCTGAGCACTGGTCTGGACACATGGTCTTCAGAATCTCACAGTTGCTGCCGCCCCATCCTGGATTGCAGTGACACTCCCCATGGATACACACCCCATGGTTAGAGCATCCAGGGTCCAGACAGTCCGCTGGCGTCAAGAGATGAGAACCGTTTTAGTCAAGCTGAACGGGATCATAGCACATGCAGGCTAAAGAATCAACTCTTAGTCCACGACGAGAATGTTTTAGACAATCGAACATCCACCCACCCACCATTCTCAAGAGCTCATTTCTGAAAAAGCAGAGAGCTGTAATCCAGTCACACATTAAGAACCAACCTGATGTCATTTAGGTAACTGAGACCCTTGTTTCATGACTCAGACTTGCTCTCGGGGGTTCAGGCAATTGCTCTGGGTTCTGCCTTAAGCAGTCAGAACTCCTGCCTTTTCAAGAGCAGACCCTGTACATCCTGACCTGCTCCATGACCACTGAGCACTGACAGCTACACGGGAGCCTCAAATTGTTCCAGAAATAAATGAGTTGCACACTCTATCCTTCTTAATTCACTTTAATGTGCTTTAGATGATGAGATTTAATTTAGCAATTTGACTCAATAAAACTTTACACTTGTACGGTCAATGGCCTGAAAATTTAATTCCAGGGACTTAATTGCATTACTTTGTGAGTTCAGATCAATAAAATCAATTTGATTGGAGAACGGAAATGGTGCCTTTTTTTTGTTTTCCAAAAAAAAAAAAAAAATAACCAAACCCAACAACAATAACAAAAAACCCAAAACCAAAACTCCAGTGTAACTGCACTTCACAGTATAGTGGCTCGACTCTCAACATCACATACAGTGATGGCGGAATCCCACAAACCCACAATGCTGTTCTTATTCATTACATTACATTCAATTGTTTTTTCTTTCTAGAGATGCCAAAGAAGTCGGCATCAATGTAAAAAGCTAAAAAGTAACATCAACAAGTCAGTCTTTTGTTGGGTTTCAAGACACAAGTCCTTGCTTGCTTTCTCGAAATCAAAATAAATAAATAAACAAACAAATAAATAAATAAAGATAAAAGTAGAATTACTCAAACTACAGAAACAGAGCAAAAGGATTTTTTTGGTATTAGTTCTTTTTATTAGTCAGAGCATTAAAAAAACAATGCATCCATAACTACGGAGATAAAATTGCTTTCATAAGGAAGCATGTGAAAGAGAGATTCATTCGCCAAACTGAAGATTACAGATTTAATCTCTCTCTTTATGGCAATAACAATAGGATTCGGTAAATATTGACATGTTTACCTTCTTCACAGTTTTCTCCTTTGTATCCCGAGTTGCAAGCGCAAGAGCCCATGATGCAAATCCCACGACCCCCACACTGCGGGTCAATGCATTGGGTCGTCGGGACATCACACTCCGTGCCCTTCCAGCCACTGAAGCACAGGCAGCGGCCCTTGGAGTACTGCCCATTGCCACTACAGAGCACGGGACAGGCTGCTGTGAAATGACACACGACAGAAGGATCAGCGGCCACGGTTTCCGTTGAGCCTCCCGCGGAACAAGTGAGGGGCCGTTCCCACCCCCCCCTTTCTCCTCCCGTGTTGCATGGGTTCCTACAGCTTATTTACACCGGCTTAAGAAGGGAATCCAGCTTGCGTACCTCTTGAACAATCCGGGCCCAGAAACCCTGGGAAACAATGGCAAGTTCCAGAAACACACTCTCCATTTCCATGGCAATTTCGGGGGCATTCCACCACGGACTCTGAAGAAGACAGAGGGAGCATTTGTGAGGTGCCTGCCTCTCTCAGAAGTGGTCATTCTTTTCGCGTTAGTTAGATGGTGATGCAGTTATGCATAGCACACTCCATAGCCCTCAAATCGATTAATAAATAATATATAATATATATAACATATATAAATATAAGGTATCTGTAGAGTGACGTAAAGCAGTAATGCTTTCAATGCAGGTTTTTAAAGCGTTCTCTCCCCCACAGTAGTTTATGTCTTACAGAGCTGCAGTGCTTGCTGTATATTCACAAATGAACAACGCAAAAACAGTGCACTTTACAAGTGCGTCATCACCTAGGAACCACGCGAGTTTGAGTTCAGGCAGTAGGTGGGAAAGGATGTGTTGACGAGGACTCTTACCTATAACGATGGTGTTAAAAGACACTGGCTCTGGATTTTTTCCATCGTTATAAAAAGCCAGATGCCAGATTCCAGAATCCAAGTACTGGATGAAGCCAGCCTCGTGCAGGCTGACGGATCTCGCCTGCCGCCCGGCTCTCTCGGCTCTTTCGGAATCCACCAGATTCCGCTGCTCTCTTGCTATTAACCGGCTGCCGTCCAGGAGCTCCACAAAGTCGTACTGGAGGTGAGGGTAAGGGAAGCGGTTAGTGGCCGGAAACAACACTCGTATTGCTGCTGCTTCAAGCTTTGCTCTTTTGCAAATAAATACAGTGTTAGCAAGAAGTTCTTGATTGGCAAGTCCAGGCATGATATCTGAGGATGAGGACCGCCTGCTGCCTCCCCTCGTATTTAAGTTGAAATGATCGTCCTCTTCCTTCTGAGGCTTCCAAATTCGGTTCTCCTAACCAATAACAAGTTTGGGAAATTTTGGCAGTATGAGGATATGAATATGAAATCTCTGTGAGTTTACTCAGACCACGAATGGCTTAAGATCTACTCCTACTTCATGCTTAAGTATAGCAACCACTGTGGTTTAGCCTGCACTGGGATTATTCTTAATCCTGGAAGCCGCTCTTTGGGAAAGTCATTCATTGCTACTCTCGGGGACTCTTTAGGAGGTGCAGGAGGACCTCCATGGGGGCAGTGGTGCAGTTGGTCTATGACCTCGGGTGTGCCATGCTGCAGAGCCAGGGTTATTTCCACCAATGCACCACATTGCTCTCCTGGCTAACGCGACCATCTGAACTTCTGTGGAATTTTTACGCGAATATGGTCAGCTTACACATACTTAATGAAGTGCCTTTATAGTCTTTATCAAAGTTTAATAAACTGATTAACAGATGGGCTTGGGATGGAGAAACAACATGTAGAGTTAAGGACATGACGGCAGCCATCCTTGAAGCTACCTTTTGTTTCTACAATTATTAATCCCAGACATTGGAGGTTAAAGGAAATGAGAATTTAAACTAGAGTATTATTGACGACAATGGAGTAAAATTTTCTTAACAAAGGCCAGTGAATTTGGAAGATACCAAAAAGACTCCAGCGTTGTTTTTAATAAGCCTTTTAGCTAATAACGTCCTTAAAAAGTGCATTGATTGTATTGCTGCTACACACTTGTCCAGTTTCATTTTACTTTTAAGACACAGCTACTGGAAAAGCTCACGAATATATGTGATTTTTTAAAAATACAATGGTTATTGGAGGAAAAAAAATCTTACATGGTTTTCTTAATCCAGTCACATAAAAATAAAATTAGTTGTTGGAATTTCTGGGAATTGTATTTAAATAGGCTGCCACTGTGCAGACCACAGATATCTACTCTTGCAGCAAGAGAATTTAATATGTGACTCAGTATAGGACTTATTGAAATATTTGCATAAAAGCATTTTTGTTCTTTGGTTAGTAATATGAAAAACAGATGCAAAATATATGCTAACTTCATTAGCACTCAAAAATTTTAAATTTCCTTACAAGGATGAAAATAATGATTTCTCCAGCTATTTGTTAAAAGTTACTGGAATTTTATTCTCTCATGGTTAGAGGAGAACACCGTCAGAATTTTAAGGGTGTCCCCCCTTCAAATAAGTCATCTCCATTTCCTATCGGATTTAAATATTTATATTATCATGGCAAAAAGCGAGAAAAAGTTTCCTTTTGTGGCCCAATACAGGCACTTTCCTCTTCTAACATTACATACAGTAGCTGAAAATGGAAAGGGTAGAACAGTTGGCGTTTTAACTGGTCTTTCGAGTCTACAGTTGGTCACCACTGCCAACACAGTGGTGGGCACTTGTACCAGACCTGAACGACAACGGAACTCTAGAGTGGCGGGAACTGTGACGTGGTTGATGGCCTCTAGCCATCTAACAGATGGAGGCTGTTGTCATGGCATGCCACAGCTGACGTCAGGAGAGTGAGTCAAAACACCTGAAGGGAATTATGTTCTTCAAACTGTAACCATCTCCATCCCAATCAAATGGCTCCTTCTTCAGGCGTAACACGGTCATATACGGGCAAGTCTGAGCTTTGCTCTGCGCACGCACGGGAACTGTAGAGGGACTGACTTTCGTGGGAGGGGGTCTTAGGATCTTATGCCTTTTTCAGTGTGAAATGCTTCGGGCTAATTCTGCAGTCTCAAACTCTGGAGAGCTGTCAGAGACAACATCTACACAGCCTGTGGATCTCACTAAATTGCAACTATTTCTATTCCCTTTAGGGGAAATTTTCTCATGATGTTGCCTTCTTATGCTATCACGAATAAAGATTTATTGTGTGTGTGTTAGATGCACATGTGTTATATACACACATGGATACGTGTCATATACTTTAAAGTTCTTTCTCAAGCGGCTTTGAACCTCAGTGTCTTAACAAGGTGCTGTGTAAAATCCGTAGAAGAAAAGGTTTCAGTGCTTTACTATTTCAATCAGCCATGTAAATGTAAAAATGCAAATACTTTTTTTCTGGTAGCTTGGTAGTTTACTTCTGAAAAGCTAAGACTGTCTGTCCAGCTGTTTTATCTATCCAGCTGTTTAATTCTTTCAGTTATTAAGTTGTGGGAACACAGAATCTTGGCTATGTCCTTCAATCAACTTTTGCTTTTTTTTTTAGGGGGGCAGCTAGTCCTGTCACATAGACCTTGTGGCCTTTAACTATCAAACCTCTTGCCTTGTCTCTCAGGTGCTGGCAGGGTAGGCATATGCCATCACACCCAGGCTTTACAAAACTTCGCTCCAAGTTTCTGCTGGTGGCAGAAACTTGTCTATCACCGAAACACAGCGAAGGAAAAAGTTTTAGAAATCTACCAATTCGAGTCTCTCATTTTACCAACAGACGCTGAGCCTTGGAGAAGTTAAGTTACTCATACAAGGTCACGTACAGCATAAAACCAAAATGTGGTAAAGGGAGTTTAGACCACAGGTTTCTGCCCCCTTTTGCTGAAACAGCCTTCAGGCAAACGCACTAACATACCACACATAGCACAGGACCTGCAGAGCTCAGAACTGCTTCCTTAGGCTTCCAACTGTCCAGGAGAATAAACCGGCCACCGGGGAGAGGAAAGTCAATTGGTTCCTTGGCAACGGTCAAATGGACAGTTTTATAAAGGGTCCCAAAGACTTTGACTTTCAAAACTCAAGTGACTATTCTGAGGGGCTGGCCAATTTTAATTATTTCAGGTTGATTTATTTAATGCTCCCCAGGAACAGAGAAATGTTCAAACCGGGCTGCTTTATAGCGTATTTCATGTTTAAACAGTGAACTTAGAAACAGCTGTTTGCTCTGCCGATCTTGAATAAGCCAGAGGAAGGAACTCTAATAACTAAGGCTTAAGAAAAAGCATACCCTACACAAATACATACACTGTGGTAGAAAAGAAGGATGGGTATTATGGGCGCTGTGCTGAAATAGCGGTGTGATTGTAAGAAAAGGTGAAGCTGCGTTTTTCATTCCCCAAATTCTGTGTGTTAATGCATCTCATGCAAAAATCCAGCTATATATACATTCTGAAACAAATGTTTATAAGCGCACAACACAATACACGCTTTTCAAAAACAACCCTGGCTGGCTTGGAACTTGCTACATGCAGAACAGGCTGGCCTTGAACTTTATCTGACAGCCCCTTAGCTTCTAACTCTCAAGCGCGTGAACCACCACGCCAGGACACAACACGTGTGCTTCATCTGAAATTAGTCTCAGGACACTTGAAGTTGCACATTCACAGGTGTGCATAATCTAGAGCACTCCTGAGCTGAAGAAAAAGAATTTCATTTCCCATGGAGTTTCAGCGGAGAGAGCTGTCTGTATCTTCCTGGACTATTCATGGAAATGCAATCTGTAATAATTGGAGTTCGAGCGAGTCACTTTCAGCTTTTTCTATCTCTGTGGAAACTGAGATGGGGCTATGATGGGGATTGCACCGAATATGCAAACAGCTCTGGATAAAACCCAGCATTTCCATAATATTAAGTCTCGCAGTCCATGAGTATGGAGTGGCTCTCCATGTTTTGGTGTCTGTCGTTTTTCTTCAGAGGTTTAAAGTCAGTATCACACCAGGGGCAATTTTAGAATTGGAGACATGTACATCACAACAAGTGTTTGTCCCAGAAGGAACCAAGGCCTTTACTTTGACATCTCAGATATGAGCCTATATTGTAATGTATTAGTCAAACATTAGATCTTTTAGAAATCATTCCTAGAATTACAGTATTTCTTTTGCATTGTGGCTTCTTTATTAGTATTTGGCTAATAATTCATAGTTCATACTCTAAGATTATAGAAAATAATTTCTTATAAGGTCACAGAATATGAAGTTTGTACAAAAATCTTGGCCTTTCTGTAAATGAAAAGAGAAACAATATGAAATCCCACGAGGAGATAAATTTATTATAAAATATGTCGAGCTCCTCTAAGCATGTATGAACTAATTAGTATGATTTTAATTCCTCTAATTACTAGCAGAATATATCTTGGATAAGTATCTCTTCCAATTGTATAGTAGATAATTCAAATATTTTCCTCTTAGACATTATGGAACATTTCTTTTTCTCCTGGGTACAGAGATTGAAACTTGGGGCCTCCTCTATTACATCTCATCCCCCACGAGACCTGTTTTAAATAACAAAATAACATTTTCCAAACACATACACCATGACTCAGCATTACTGACTTTATATTTTGTGGGAGATGGGATTGAATTTAGGATGTCACGGCCTCAAGATTGCAGGCAAGTGCTCTATGATGGGGTCATATTCGAGTCCTATTTTTTTTAACTTTGTAATTTATCTCACTAAGGCTAGCTTGAACTCATCATTCTTCTGCCTCAGCCTTCAGAGTCTGTGCAGCTAGGTTCTGGCTCAACTGTGGACATTTGATAATGGCTCTCCAGCTGTGGCTGTTATAGTGGGGGTATTTTCAGGCAAAGAATTGACTTTAAAATGCTTTAGATTCAGTAGTCCGAGAACCACACTGACTCCATCATGCTTGGTTTTCCATGAACCATCAACTATTCATCTTACTCTTCCTTTATTTCCAAAGACACACGATGATTAGAATTGGCAAAGTTAATAACTATCATGTTGGTTATTCTTGTGTTTCCATAATTTTTTCACTAAAAATTAATCTGCCATTTCAAAAATTGCTTTAACCGAATATCAACAGATTTAAGATGAATAGGTATACCTCTGTGCTATGCAAGGTATAAAAGCATCTGAAATGAGAACAGCATCCTGGAGAATCAACAGTGTGCTAGATATTCAGCTGATGCCCAATGCTCATCAAGTTCCTCAGACACATTTAGCCATTTTAAGCAATCATTAGCAATGCAAACCAGGCCCCCTTTCCTCCTCGTGATTCAGATGTCTCAAACAAGCAGGAACTTCAAACTTCTGTTTCAAAAGATTCACTTGGAAGTGATGGCTTCACCGTACAGCTGAGTTTCTGGGTTAGAGCAACATCTAGGAAACGCAAACCAGGAGCCCACATCCTACTGATGCCAACCCCCACTCTCACCTGCGTATGGGAAGGTGGTAAGCCTTTGCGGCCATATACTCCAATCAACGCATCCTTCTGAAGAGAGATGTTGAACTTAAGAAACTGTGGCTGGTCAATAAAGAGTTGCGATCTCCAGAAGACCCCGGGGGGAACCTCTTGAATTGCTCTCCGGCCAATATCAAGTTCTCCGGAATCTATGGTGTTATTTTCATGGGTAAATCCACCTAATTTTCCTGAATGTGAGAGACCCAGTGATGAAGAACAAAATATTAAAATAACAGGGTTTCCTTTCAAAACGTTATTTCCCCTTATTGGTCAGGAATCCTTCTTCTGATACGTGAGATACTCCCTTGTTTTTACTTTAAGAACTTTTTTGTTGGTTGGTCTGTTTGTTTGGTGATGTCTTTTTTTTTTTTTTTTTTGACTGTCTCTTATCTAGAATTCTTTAAGACATTTACGTCAAAATTCTCCAACTTCCCCCAAGGTATGGTAATCACTGAAGCTGTTTCCACACCGATGGTGTTTCTCACTTATTTGAAACAGAAATGTCTTATAAATTATACGCCTTGTTATTTCTTGGAAGAGATTTTGTCTGGTGCTTACTGGGTACTCTAACCATGTCATAATTCTGAAGAGTGTGAATTAAGGCAGGATGGATTACAGAGATTTCCAAACCAATCTTTAAGCAACCAATCAATGTTATCAGTTCATGTAGTCCTCTTTAAGTCATACGCCAGAAAAAAAAAATCACATGTCAGAAGAGGTGAGTAGAGGTAGTGGGCATCAAGATATAGAGGACAAGAGGGGCAGGGCTATATTCTCTGATGTTTTAAAGTCGGCTATCACAAGACTTCCTATTTCTTGACCTATCATGAGTACAAGTGGGCACACTGTTCCATCCTTCCTGAGGGAGCTTCAATCCTCAGGGGAAAACAAATAAACAATCAAACAAACCCTCCCCCCCCCCCCCCCCCGAGAATCCCTGCTATCTCCTAGCACCATGGCCAGGTTCAAGTTCCAAGGCTGTTTTTCAGGGTTGGTGTTCCCCTTCGCCTCTTCGCCGAGGTCCTTTCTTAGGGATCCTCCTGGTGACAAGAAGGGGTTTCACAATTTACTGCAAGGAGAAGCAAAAAGGAAAGCGCCCTGGAAAGCTGAGGAGACAGAAGGCGAATTATCCTCTATCAAATTCAACCCTTTTAAATTGATAAAAAGTTGACTTACCATTCCTTTTCCCTTTATTCATTAAACTGGAACTAGCCTCCAGAGAACTTGTTAATTCAAAAAATTTTGAGATTTAATCTCAAATCTGAGAATTATGTTCTATCCTAAAGAGGGGAGAGAGCCTTCTGTCTGTGATGACTTGTTAATATTGCACTCAATTTATTAAGAGTCTGCGAGGGACAGATCGCTGATGCAGTCATAAGAAACACAAACCAAAGAGCAGCCATTTAGGAACTATTTACTCTATCTTAAACAGCTTCGTCTTCACCAAGCTAATTGCTTGGTTGAGGAGATGATCTGTCCAAACCGATGAACTAAGTAACAATCTAGAGCCTCTTGTGATGGGTCAGGGGCAGGCCATGACACTGGAAGCTGGACTCAGAAGGACAGGTAGGTTAAGTGTTAGGACTAGTTTTTGTTGGCACCTTGACTCCTTCTGCAGCCAATGAAAAGGCAAGCTGCATGGCACGCCTGTGAAGAATTCTCTTGACTAGGTTATTAGAAGTGGTGGAAGATCAACTCCGAATGTCGGTGGCACCTTCCTTGTGGCAGCCTGGGTAAAAAAGCTTTACTCTGGCATGTTTGCTTGCTCTCATCCTGGCAAGTTTAAGAGCTCTGTGGCTGCTGCCACCACTGCTGGTGTTATATTCCTTCCCTACTACCAGAACCCAGCTTCTTTGGGCATCTATTGTAGACTGACAATTAGGGGCTCTCATGTCTTCAGTGCAAGACTGGGACTGTTGAGGGACCCCCAAACTCATGAGTTGAGCAGCTAGCGGGTTGTTGGCCCCTCCAGTGTGAAGATGGCCATTATTGTTGGGACCAACTGGATTACTTTGTGTGAGTCAGTCTATATAACCTTTTAATATATACTCATTCTATTGGTTCTTTTCCTTTAGAGAATTCAACCAATACAATAAAATATCTGAGTTATGACAAGTATCACAATTTTAAAAATGCTTATGGAAAGGGCATGTGTTCGGATGCGTGTGCAAGAGAACTTTTGGAATCTAACAACAATCTGGGTTTGAATCTTGGCTGTGTCAGAGGCTGAGGGACCTGCAGGAAGAGACCAAAACCTCAGACACAAAACCTCCTCTGGAAGAGGGCGATGGCCACGTGACATCTGGACTACTGTGAGGTGTAGTCAAGTTAGTGTTCCTGCTCACATGATATTTACACCCATAGAGTCAGTGTTTCTGCTCCGGAAATACTTTTCATTTGCATTCTATTCATGATCAATATTATACCTTTTCTTGAAGATGTATATATTTACTATTATGCCTATACTGGTGTAGTTTAGAAACAGAGGCTTGAAGAATTATATAACGGTATAATTACATAGATGGACTCCAATGCAGACATGTTCTTGTGTTTCTTCCCCACCCACCACCCCACTCATCACCTTCCTTCTTCCCTTCTCTGCATCTGAGAAACAGATTTAGGATTACTAGGAAACGGAAAGGTGCCCCACAGTTGTAGACGAGTAAGACAGACAGATACCAGCTGATTGTCGAGAGGATGTGAAGCAATCCACAACAGATTCACTCTTACGGATACATGTGAGTTTGAGAGAGAGTATATTCTAGTAAATGCCAGGATAGCTTTTTATCCGGACTATTGTATCCTACAGTAGTAGCACATATACCATCAGTTGCAAAGGACAGCTATCGCTAAATGGAGACCCGTCATAGGTTCAAGCAGGCTAAAGGCAAAATGGAGCCATCGTTGGAGGAGCATTCAAGTGCCACAGTGCAGGAAGCCTGCAGATGGAGAAGAGAATGGGAATGCAGCCATAGTAGCCCAGGAATGGTGCAGAGAGGTGTTATCCAAGACAGTCTAATACAACAACGTTACTTACAACTCCGTGTGGTTCTTTCTCAGTGTTCATACCCTAGTAGTTCATAATGCTTAAGCAATAAGGTCTATTTTTCTCAAACCAGTTAGTATTATAAAATACGATAAGGAAATATCAAAATTGCATCACAGTAATCATTTTGAATTTTCATATATGACCACTTAGATCATAAACCATGCACCTTCCATATAATGTTATCCTATTATGATAGACATTCACTGGAGTGGAATTAGAGCACACAGTTAAATGAAAAGAGAATAAAATTATCTCTATGCTGGAAATGTTTTGCTTCTTATTTAGACAGATATATTGTTTTACTCAGTGACTCTTTTAATATACTTGACAGCTTTTGCAAACCCAGTGTTTGCCTAGAATTAGCGTTGGTGAAGAGTTCGGAGGCTGGAGGACAACAGCATTAGTCTCTCTGAACACCTATGGTAGGTATGTTGTTTGTATTAAACTTTAAAACAACCCCATGAGCTCGATACTTGAGATAAGGAAGCTAAGGTCCAGAAGTAAAGAATGTGCCCAAAGTATGTGATGAAATGATTCAAATTTCCAAACCACTGTGGGAGCCAATAGTCTTTAAGATACCAGCCCACTTAGGCGAGGTCTCTTATACTATAAATGCAGCTGTAAAGCCTGTGCTCGCTCTCTTGCTTTTGGTTCTCGGTTCCACTGCTAGACTCTGTTCCTGTTCCCTGTTTGTGCAAAGGACTGTGATCTAGGATAGAGATCTGTGAGTCCACCCCTAAATAAATAACCCCTTATTATACATAATTCTGAACTAGTGTGGGATTATTTTGTAACTTCCACCATCATCTGGCTCCTGATCCTGAGGACCAGTCCACACTTTTTGGGATCAGTCCGCCAGCCATGTGGTGCATTGGGCACTGACTCTTCTCTGGCTGGCCTTCAGAGGCAGCATGCTGTTGCTCAGTGCTCCCCAGCTAGCAACCCACATGCTGCCTCTCTGTGCATTACACACCAGCCCACACACTGCTGCCTGTGATCCCTGTAGTACATAGTCTGCAACTCGCACTGACAGAAAAGTTTGGCTTTTCTTTTTTTCCCCTGGGCTCCAACTCTTGGAATCATTTGATCACCTTAATAACTGCTCTTAATTTGTTAAACAAAGCATATTTTTCAGTACCTAAGTAAGCAACAAGTGCTGTTCAGTGCTGCTAGTGTCTCTTGGCCATGTGGCTGCAACTGCGACATCTGCTGGCTCATAGCAGTTATTACACCTACCCCAATTCATTGTAATTACTTAACAACAGGTAGGATATGAAAAACTACAAAAAAAATGACTGATAACATCCAGGAGTTCAATAATTATTTTGTTTATATTATGGAAGGCATTGTGCAAGACTTATGCTTATTTCCTTCCCTTTATTTGATTCTAGGAATTAGCTTTGTTTTCAATAGTATCTAATTAAAAATGATTCAATACTATGAAGAAAGATCGCATCAATCTGACAAAATTATCTGAAAGAATTTCTGCTGTTAAATCTATCAAAATCTGTTGAAAAGTTATGATATGTCCAAGGATGAGACATTATCTTTACTGGACAAGTTTCATACCTTAGAACAGAACACTGGACAGGAGATTCAGACTTTAAAAAAGGCAGTAGTAAAAAGATTTAAAAAGATTGAGGAATTTAGTGAAATTGATGAGCAGGGACAGAAGGTACAAGGACAGGATTTAGCCTCATTAGTACATGCCAGACCCTGGGATGACTTAAACAGAGTTTCAACTGCATATCTGGTAATTTCCTCAGAAAGACCATCTGGCACAAAGTACCCTAAGGTAGTCAAAGAATATGCATGGAAACCAATATGTATGAGTGAACTAAAAGAAATAAAACAAGCAATAGTTTCTTATGGGCAATATTCACCTTTTGTCAGGGAAATGGTGAAAACACAATTGGCTTCAATTAATCTCAGGAGTCCTAGAAAATGGACCTCAGTTGCTTTGGAAGTGTTATTGGAGGGAAGAGGCAAAAATTTTAGAACCACAGGGGAAAACAAAAGGATTTGACACTTCCCAAGATCAAATTCTTGGCAAGGGTTATTACTCTGATCCTCAGGAACAGGCACATTATGATGAACACACCTTGTCCCTATGTAGTACAACAGCTTTAAATGCTTGGG